TAGTTTATTGACACTAAGAGAATTGAAAGACTCTATAAAAAAATCCCATAATTCTGCTGTAGGCCCGGATGAAATCCACTATGAGTTTTAAAAAATTACCAGAAGAATCACTAAAATTCCTTTTAAAAATATTTAACAAAAATATGGACAGAAGGAAGGTTCCCAGATATATGGAGAGAGACAACAATGATACCAATTCCCAAACCAAAAAGAGATGGCTTGGACCCACAAAACTATCGACCTATCTCTTTAACCAGTTGCTTGTGTAAAACAATGGAAAGGATAATAAACAACAGGTTGATTTGGCATTTAGAATCAAACAATCTTATTTCCAACTTACAATGTGGGTTCCGTAGTAAAAGAGGCACAATAGACCACTTAATACGCCTTGAAACAAATATTAGAGAAGCATTTATCAAAAGGAACACCTTACAGCTATATTTTTCGATCTAGAAAAAGGCTTATGATCTGACGTGGAAATATGGAGTAATGAGGGACTTGAGTAACCTGGGTATAAAGGGTAGATTGCCACAGTTTATTGATGGATTCTTATCTGAAAGAAAATTCAGAGTTCGTGTCGACTCTACACTTTCAGATGTGAAAAATCAGGAAGAGGGTGTCCCACAAGGCAGTATATTGTCCGTAACACTATTTAACATAAAAATAAACACTATAATCAAGGAAATACCACCAGGAACCGATGGATCACTATATGTGGATGACCTTATGATATGTTATAAATCAAAATATATCCACACAATCGAACGAAAACTGCAACAGGGTCTAAATAAAATCAGCAGATGGGCAACAACAAATGGATTCAAGTTCTCTAAAACAAAAACAAAATGTGTCCATTTTTGTCACAAAAGGAAACTCCATAATGACCCTAGGCTGAAACTTGACGGTTCAGAGATCCCAGTTGTAGATGAATACAAGTTTCTGGGGGTAATATTTGACAAAAACTAACATTTATTCCCCACCTGAAATACTTAAAAACCAAATGTAACAAAACATTACAACTACTGCGTGGTAGCCCACACAAAATGGGGAGCAGATCAAACACTCTGTTATTATTGTATAGATCCCTAATTAGATCAAAATTGGATTACAGTATTTTTATATACCGTTCAGCCAGAAAATCCTATTTAAAAATGCTTGACCCGATCTACCATGGAGGTTTGAGGTTAGTACTCGGAGCCTTTAGAACGTCTCCAGTCGAGAGCCTATATGCTGAGGCTAACGAAGCACCTGCAAATAGTAGAAGCCATAAACTGGCCCTCCAGTACTATGTCAAATTAGGGTCATGCCCAGCAAATCCTGCGTACAATAGTACCTTCTATCCAAAATACAAAGAATTATTCCAAAGGAATGAAAAAGCCATAAAACCCTTTGGACTTCGGATGGAAACAATTATAGAAGAAGCAGATGTAGATTTGACAAAAATCCATAAAACAATCATACCAGATATCCCACCTTGGACCATAAGAACCCCAAACATAAACTTAACCCTCTGTAAATACTTCAAAAAAAAAACCCACCCACTAATTTTCCAAGAGGAATTAGAGAAAGTTAAGGAGAGATATCCTAGGCACTCACATGTCTTCACAGATGGATCTAAAGTAGGAAAAATAACAGGATGTGCCGCAATATATAATAGAAAAATATTTAAAAAACATCTCCCAAATGACACCTCTATATTCAGTGCAGAAGTTTATGCAAATTAACATGGCTCTTAACCTCATCTCAGAATCAAGGAACAACAAGTTCATTATCTTTTCTGATTCACTATCAGTATTAGAATCACTAAAAAACAGGAAGTTTGATAATCCATTGATAGTGAAAATACTATGTAAATTAGAACACCTATCAAATGATAATGATATACAGATATGTTGGGTCCCAGGTCACACTGGAATCGGTGGAAATGACCAGGCAGATAAAGCAGCCAGGTCTACTCTAAATATGACCATAGAAAAAAATTTCAAAATACCATATACAGACCTTAAAATGAAGATAAATAAATACATACTGCAACAAAGACAACAACGCTGGAACAGCAATAGTAATAATAAATTACTAAAAATTAAACCTGAATTGGGAGAATGGAAACAGAGCTATAGGAAAAATAGAAAAGAGGAAGTGATATTGTCCAGACTTCGAATAGGCCATACAAGGACAACACATTCCTACTTACTTGAAGCAAAGCAACAACCAATGTGTTATGCATGCCAGACCGCATACACAGTGAAACACATTCTCATTGAATGTACTGACCTAGCCCATATAAGAGAAACGCTTTATAGTGCAAGTAACATGAAGGAACTGTTCCAAAAACTGACATGGATAACATAATATCGTTCCTGAAAGCAGTCAATTTGTACCAAAAATCTAAAAACATAAAAAGTTGGGAGTTTTCTGCAAACTTTTGCTGCAAGGAATGTTTTCAACAAAATCTGATTCTTTCTGCATACCATTTCTCAAAAAAGGAAGAAACTTCCCTGATACAATTCTCTACAAAAATTTTTTTGACAGAACCAGATTTTTTCTACAAACCATTTCATTTCTAAAACCTTTTTCAGCATGGCAAACCTCTCCGTTTGTGGAAATGGAAGGATCTATTATATTGGAAAATAATATTACAATAATAACCTGATTTGACATTAAATGACTGAGGAGGTCGATATGTCGTAAAACACAAACAAACAAACAAACAAACCTCCTTTGTTTTAATATATGTGTATATATTTTTGAATATGTACTATTTTAAAGTATCCATTTTTCAAGCCATAATGAAATTTTGTACCTCTCATAGATTAAATTTTAGCTGGTTTTTTAATTTTAACTTTCAGATGACTATTATTACATGGCTGTTAGTATGCTATACAGATTAGAAATAAAGAATAAACCTTTCTCAAGACTTCTTTGACAGGCTCACTTGGATTACTTTCTGTTTAAAAGAAGAAAAATCATAAAATGGAGTTAGTTTCATTTTATATATATATATATACACACACACACACATGCACCAAGAACCAAATTGTTCTAAAATAAGGGAAATTTGTATAAAAATTTTCAGTTTTGTACTTTTAAATCAATCTCTCTTACGAAGGGGGAATTTATTTTTCTTAGGAGAAGAAAGAAGTTTTGAGGCAAGAACTAAAAGACATGCAAAAAATGAACCAAGAAATGGCACAGATGAAAAATACCCAGAAAAAAGAAAAAAATAACAACTTTGAGGTTAGTTCTTATTTTGAAATCTGTTTCATGGTAAGTTTTTTTTTTTTTTTAAAAAGGATTTTTGTAATTCCTAAAGGTAACACTTTATTTGAAAGTCTTACCTTTCAGAATTTGGTCTCTATATTCTAATTACACGATATCACTTGGCTACTAGGGGACATATGTTTTTGCACTACACAATATGGAAATGGTAATATCTGTTTCCTTATAAGGAAACATTTGGCATTCATTTGTCAGCCCAGTAGCTGTTCTTGTTCTATTCAGTATTAATGAGGGTTTCCTTAACCTTTTGTTTGAATTATTGACACAATTTACATTTGGACTATTGTCTTCATTTTTGTTGTTTTTATCACAATGTTTTGGCTGTCATGCTCTCTGACTTCATTAGGTGTATATATAATATAAAATTTCGAACTAAACCCTTTATTTAATCTACAGGGGTAGACTATTCTCATTCCACGGTCCATGTTTAAGGACATCTCATCTAGTTATTCTTTTTGTAGTGCACAGCTATTGCTTGCCCAGTTTCCACTGAGTTCAAGTACACACTGCCATGCTCAAGGATTGAACTCACAATTACTATGTCACCAAATTCACAAACCAATGGCTTTCATTGACTGGTCAGCCAGTGCTACTTTTAGTTGAAATTTATAAAATATTTCTATTAAAATAATTTTTTTTTGTTAAATAGGTTTCTCAAATCCAGTAATAGTTATTACTCTTTCCAGCACTGATATAGGTTTCCTTCCTAACCTTTTGTTTGAAGTAGTGTGGAATGTCAACATCTTGATTATGTCATTATTTCCTCTTTGAGTTATATGTGATATCTATCTTAGTTCTTGTTGTTGAAAGTCCTCAAGTGATGTGGTTTCTGTTATTGGATACCATTCTTTCTTAGTGATTCTGTAGCACAAGTCAACAAAGTTTGAAGAAGGATTCTCCTTGTTAAAACCTACAGGCTTCATTTATTTGAAGTAACTTTTAACCATTGATCTGAAAAAGTGGTTGTAAACAGATGACAGTTTAGATATTTCTGAACAAGTTTGGTGCCATGCATGAAATCACATCCACTTCTTGAGAAATTATAATACAACATGGAACAAAGATTTTCTCGTCTTATTAATGTAAAATGCTTCTGTATCTTAGCAATCCCAACATAAATAAAATATTTATAAATTCTTAGAAAGAATTATTTAGAATTTGTTTTGTTCTTGAGCAATAAACTCTTTTTCTCCAATTTGACATTATTTTTCTTAATTTCTTTCAGCAATGTTATCTCTTTCAACGTCGTCCACTTACACCTCCACTTTATGTAAGGATGAGTTCCTATGGGAAAGAATTGGAGAAACAGGTAAGCTTAAGATTTCAAAATCATGTGACTATATTGTTGTTTTTTTAAATTTACTTTCAGTGTAATCATATAAGCTTATATAGATAGTTGACTTTCATTACTACTGTGTCACTTCAGTTTTTTTGATTGATTTGTTTTTTTTTATGGCTTATCAACCTTTTGCATGTTATTTAAAGCCAGAAAATAATTTTGGATTGTAAAGATTTTTTTTTTTTATTTGAGATAATAATGATTCACTGATAATTCCAACTATTTAATCCCATAGACGGAGGAAGAAAAGGGTTGAGTCATGCCTTTTCCAAGTGTAATAGTGCTTAAGAGAATATAACGAACCTGACTGGAGTTGAAACTTGGCTCTCTGATTTCCAATTCTGAGCCTTTATCTATTACACCACCTGCACATCCAACATATAGTACCTAGTATTCCCAAATGATCACCCATCTAGGTACTGACCAGGCTTGACATTGCTTAACGTCAGTGATTGTTTGAGAACCAGTGTTTCAACTGGCTATGATTGTAAGCTGAAACTTCAGTTGAAGGACAAGGTGTATAAGTGGTTGGCAGTTGAGTAGTATCAGGGATTGATTTTAGGTATGAAGTCAAAAGGTTGCATATGATCATTAAAAAAAGCACAATTATTTTATTTCTTTCTTTTTTGGTGATTCATTTATGTGTCCAAATTGTTTGAAAAAAAAAAATTAAAAAAACTAACAAAGGATGATATAAGATAAAAAACAAATAGGAAATGTTTATAAATTTAACATGTCTTACTTTTATTAAAGTTTCATCAGAGAATGAGACATGGAGAAAATTTCTGGTATTTTTACTGTTTTTGATTTTCATTGGTTAATCATGTTTCATGTGTAATTAACTTGCTAAACAAATGTTAGTATAATTTGTGGCATTCCAAATTCAAGGAGAGATGACAAAAATCAACAGATTATTTCAGTATATTAGTAAGTGTGTGTAAGTCTAGTAGACATTGTTGGTTTTTCAAGTGCTGTTTTGAAACATTTTTGTTTTAGATAAACTTATATTAGATTCTTTAAGAATGGATCCAGTAAAGGTTGGTGATGTAATATAATGTTTTTGACATGTGTTTATAGTTGGTAATATTATTTGTAGGTCCTTAAATAATATTCATATCTTGTACTAATTTCTTTTTTAAAGACTTAAACGGCAAAATTAAATTGAACTTTTAACATGCTTTAAAATATGTTTTTAAAATACAAGTCAGTTCTGAGCTTTTAATTTAAATTTTTTTCTTTTAAATTCTTTCCTTCCAAACAGCTTATTAGCAGATCATAAATTTTCATTTGATCACCAATGTTAATCTGTTGAGATTGGTCAGTACTTAGATCAGAGGCTGATTAGGAACAGGATACAGTAAATGACTTTCTACAATCCAAAATATGTTTCAGCTTTAAATAATTAACAAATGGTTGATAAGCTGTAAAAAAACAAAAAAAAACAATCCATCCTTCCAAACAGTTTTATCCGCTCTAGACTTTGGAGTGAGACAAATAGAAAAAAACAAAAGGAGTTCAGTATACAGTATTTAGTATAGTTTATTGATGGAAATTTTTTATAGTGTCAAACATAATTATTGTATAATTTTTAACCTCAACGATGTTTAACAACAAAATAATTACACTTTATTACATATTAATTTGAAACCTCAATAATTATTTTTTGAAATTATGATTTTCTGCTTGTTCCTTTAAATTAAATTATATTTAAAGACAAGAATATTTATTTCTATTTTTCAAACTGTACTGTTTTGGGAATATAGTATGAATCACTTCTCAAAATGTTTGTAGAAATTAGAATAAGCTTTTACTACCTTTACTACTTAATTATACAAACATTGACCATAAAGTTTTAAATTCAAAATTCATGTTTAGATTAAAAATTCTGGTGTGAAATTCAACTTTCTCCTCACAATTCCAAACATTATTCCTACCATTTGTTGAATTGAGTGATAAGTTTTTTATGGTTTGTCAATCTTTTATAGGTTATTAAGAGTCAAAAAATATTTTTAGATTGTAAGAATATTTTGGAGATAATAATGATTATTGATACAAATCTTACTAATTAACCCATATCTAGGGGAGAAGATGTGGATTTGTACCTTTCTCACAGGTATTTGTATGTTTCTTAATTTTGGTGATTGTAAGAGAATTAGTGTTTCAATGTGATATGGCTGTAAGCCCATACTTGGAAACAATATCTTAATATAAATCTCATGTTTATCACAAATATATATTATTTGTGGCATACATTTTCTGCTGACACGAAGTGGAAATATTATATTGAATCAATTGCTTGGAAAGTTGGTTCACTATTTCAAGATAGATTCTGGCATGAAAAATTGTTTGTCTACCATTCATCCATGCATTGAATATTGCTGCCACATTTGGTCTGGTGCTTCTGCTATGTATTTAGTGATTCTTGATAAAATACAAAGAATTTGCAATGTTATTGGTCTTGACCTGGTATCTTGGCTTCAGTAACTTTTCCGTCACCGTGACATAGATCCTCTGTGCTCTTTTCTATAAATATTTTCATGGTAATTGTTCTGATGAGCTTTCCTAGACTAAACTATAAAATTAAACTAGGTACCTAGATTATAAATTTTTAGCACAGTACTAGATTGGCAGGTAGGTCTCATCATTTTACAGTTGAAATAGCTAGATGTTAATCTGAGTTCTATGCTAAATTTCTTCTCTTGTGCTTTCACTTGTGGAACTCTCTTCCAGCATCTTGCTTTCCAGTCAATTTTGATCTTCTGAAAGTTAAATTCAATCTCTTATTGTTATCTTCTGTCTTCTTAATTCTTGTTCTTTTATTCTCTTTTCTTAATAATATTTTCTTTTTTCAGATTCTTTCACACTTAGTAACCACTTTGAATCTTAGTGGTTTTATAGCTTTGCTTGGGGTGAAATGATTAAAAAAAAATATATTAAGTCAGTTTACTAAATATGAGTTTTTATATTTATAGTAGTCTGCTTCAGTTAAGGTGTGAGGTACACAGCAAATTTTAGGCTATCTGTTCAATTTGTTCATCATTCTATTGTAAAGATACACATTGTATTTTTTTTTAAGCTCACTATCCCATGACCTTGTTAGGCAGAAAAAAAATCATTTCAGAGATAAAGCAATGAGAAAATCATCTGGTACTATTGAGGTGTATCAGAAGTATTTTCATTTTTTAATCTCTTAAGAAGTTGTGTAGATTTTTATTTGAATTTTTAAGCATTTGTAATGATTTATATTTGCCATTTATTTGATGACTAGCAGCATAGCTCGGTGTTGCTCATGCTTGATTCAAAAGTCGTACGACTCATACAGCAATCGCTATCACTTAAAATATTTTTATCCTTCCTTGCCTTTAAAGGAGTGCCCTTTGCCATTCTGATGTTGCTACATGCCTTACTTCTTGCAAATTTTTTCTAAGCTCTATACTAAACATTAAATCTGTTACGAAAAAAAGAACTAAACAAAATGAACACAAAACAATCAGCTTTAAAAAAAAGGACTTGTAACTGGAAAAACCGAATGAAAAAAGAATGTTAACAACAAATACTTTTTCACACCCAACCCAGTTCTAGTTTAAGCAAGTGAATGAGCCAATTGGAGTAAATTGCCATGCAGATTTAAATTTTTCTCACTTGTGACAAATGCAGCTATCGATTTTTTTTTTTTTTTTTTTTTTTTTTTTTTTTGCATGCTGGCATGCTAGTTAACATTCGTGTCAGTCATCTGTTGGCTCTCATGCTGGCCAATAGAATCTTCTTACCTATTCATGGCAGCCAGCTATTGGCTCTCACTCTGGCCAGTACAAAATGGCCGCAAACTACATGAAAACTGCCGTAGAAGCATGAAAAAATCGATTATTTCCACTATCGAGGGGAGTTGGGAAATGCAAAGTTGGTCTTGGAATTCCTGCTAACTTTGTGCATGTAAATTTTGGTGCAAATCCATTGAAAATTGAGGCCGTGCATTCGTTACACACACACACACACACATTCTGCCTTTTATAGATGGAGATCCTAACTCTTCTTAAAGTTTCCAATTTTGGTGTTTGGCTTCTCCTTTTAACCATGTGTTCTAAATCATCATAATCAACAACTGACAGTTGTCATCTCAAGGGACAGATCAATACCCTTAAATCGCTTACAGTACTTTTGGGCAGTATGGTCAGGTATTGTTTAATTTCCTTGCACTTCCGGAATTCTGGAATCAGCAGAATTGACCCAGATTAAAATAATTCCTCAAAAGTTAGAGACTCTCAATACTGGTATCTGTCATTATGGCATTTAAAAAAAAGTGCAGGTAAATTTTATTGGAGTGATAGTCTTTAGATGAAATAAGCTTTAGAGTAAAGGTTTTAATTACCCATGCCTTGCTGCATGTCACACATTTTTTTTTTTTTTGTAAGAAAATGATGATTGATTTTATATCATTGTTATAATTTGTGGAGAAAAATGATGCATTTCAATATTACTCAATGATCTTGCCAATGTGACCTCCATCTTCTGACTTTCTTCTCCTATATTTTGGATAGGAATCATTCCTTTGTTCAAATTTAAATTTAATTTAAATCAAAGGGAATTTAAATCAAAATTCAGTGAGGGATTTGTGCCCCACCGAGGACTCCCTTTAATCAAAATGAAATATACTTATCCAAGTAACTTGGATAATGTAGTTTCAGAATATATATGGTTATTAGTAGCGGGGGGGGGGTATATCTCCAAAACCCTAGGAGGAGTTCGATAACAGAGGTTAATACTGGCATTCCAAATATCCAGGAACTGGTTCTATAAAGGTAGGTAATCTTGAGGAACCTATTCTGATTATTTTCCTTTCAATCTGGGGATGGAAACAAATCATTTTATAGTATTAAAAAGAATTAAACCATTTTGATAATTTAATAGAAAACATATTAAGATATTTCCAGATTGAAATTCTGTTCTCATCATATTTCTGTTCAGAAGTATGATGCTGTTTGACTCTTGTGTCATAGCTTCTTAGACATATTTGAACTGAATTGCTGCAGTTCCAAAGATCCAATGTAAGACCTACTAAACTTATAACTAGATTTGCTACATTTCTTTTGTCAGAATAAATTATGTTCATCACAGAAAAACCCTCTTTCAGACTCTGCAGAACTTACAGCAATGGTATTAATTATATTTTTCATTATTATATATTGACTATTAATATATAATATTATTTTCAGATAATCCAACAACTGGTTTGCTAATTTATAATTTTAAGAATCAGTTTGTGCAAACTAGTAAATGCCACCACTTTGTGTGTGTGTATATATATGTCTATATATATATATAAGATATACTCTGGTACATACAGGGTAGTTCAAAGGTTTCCAAAAAGAAGGAAAGTTTCTAACAAATTAACTTTATTTGCAAAGTACACTGCTCATGGTTGCAATAACTTTAAGTAAACATTTTGCTGTACCTCTCTCTAACTGATGAATATACATGCAACACTTGGGT